AACCTACTTGTCGAGTATTACGGCTTAATACCGTATGTAATTTAATTCAGATAATGGGAAACAATCATTATTTAGAACCGAATTGTCTTTGTTCGTATTCATTGTAGATAATAGACAAGAAATATATAAACTATTTTTATTACGTATATATTATTTTTATTACATCATTGATTGATATATTACATATATTTTATACGTATCTATATAAATTACATATATATTGATTGTGGTATTGATTAATTAAATACAAATACGATTGATATCAAAATTTTAATTTCATACGGCAATTGGGATTCATACGGCATCTGGGATTCATGTGGTTTTTACCGCAACCGTTACCGTAACTTGCTGTGTGTCGTACGGTCCATTGGGACAGTTCCGCCTGCATCTCTAATTGTGAACAATGTAAAATGTGATATAGAACCTCCGTTAATTTGTAGTGATTGTCTTCATGAAGTATTAGAAAAAGAGTTTGACAACTGGTCAAGTGGAAATTTACTAATTGATGAATTCATTCAAAAGGCACAACAGTCATTGTCTTATATTCAATACCCTGAATGGATTCCATATAATTTTTTTACTGAAATAAAACGTATTAATAGAGGTGAATTCGGTGCAGTAATTTCTGCAAAATGGACTCAAGGTATTAAAATTTTCGATAAAAATGAGCGTTATTAAGTCCCTGCGCAGTTATTTTAAAGAAATTAAAAGATATGAAATATTTGGAGCAGTTTTTACCTACGAAAGAAGTACTTCAAGATCAAACATATTATTGTTGCTTATATGGAATTACCCAAGTTCCTTCAACATTGGAATATATGCTTGTAGAATCCGCATCCGTATGTGACAGATGTTTCTCTAAAATAATAGAGAGTGAACTTTCTAACTGGACCAGTGGAAATTTACAAATTGATGAATTTATTAAAGAAGCACAACTTTCATCATCTTATATCCAATACCCTGAATGGATTCCGTATAACTCTTTAAGTTAAATAAAATTTATTAGCAAAGGCGGATTTGGTGCTGTATATTCTGCAAAATGGGATAAAGGAATAAAATGTTTTTCTATAATAAACGGAGATAAATATTATACTCGGTCCGAACCATGTACTGTTGCTCTAAAACAATTGGAAGGCGAAAAGGATTCAGTTCATCTTTTTCTTAAAGAGATTCAAGCACAATTTAATTGCTGTCATTTATACGGAGTTACTAAAGATCCTTCAACATCACAATACATGTTCGTAATGCGATATGCGCCACAAGGAGATCTTCGACGATTCTTGCAGAAAAATTTTGATAAATTAACTATAGAAAACAAATTAAGTATAGCACAGTCTATAAGTATAGAACTTAAAAATATTCATGCTAAAGGTTGGGTACATGGAGATCTTTATAGTGGAAATATTTTATTGTTAAATGAAGAAGATGCTTTTATATCAGAGTTTGGTTTATGTCGACCGATAAATGAAACACAGATTCCTGAAAAAAGAATTTATGGAGTCATATCAAATGTTGCACCTGAGATACTTCGTTTCCAAACTTCATATTCACAAGCCGGAGACATTTATAGTCTAGGCATTATTTTATGGGAACTGGCTTGTGGGATTCCTGCATTTTCAAGAAGAGCACATGATCTAAAATTAATACAAGATATTTGTAATGGTCTTCGACCAAAGACGTACCTTTGACATATAATGATTTACTGAGAAGATGTTGGGATCAAAATCCTTTAGAAAGACCAACTATAAACGAAATATTAGATTCTATTCAATTATTATGTACATGTTTTAGATATAATTGCGATCGGTTTTATTGTTACAGTGATAAGGAATATCGTCACTATCAGACTCTTAAAAAATTTAAATTTTTAGCATTATCTGGTTTCCAGAGGAATTGACACTTGATGAATATCGAAATCAAGATAATAGAAATAAAAAGTACATTCATGGGGAGGGTGCTTGGTTATGGGAATGGGATGGTACTAATTTATCACGGGAATTACTTAATTCGCATAATGCAACCAATATATATAACATCATGAAATGGAAACCAGATATTCCTATTCACAAAGATGCAGTATATAAAAGTCGCATGATTAGTATTAGTGATAAATATATGACTCGTCAGAACGACATGACACTTAAATATGAAATTTCTGACATACCATACATGAGTTTATGAAATTATATTATCAACGATATAGTTTATTTAAAATTATGTGGTGAATTTGTTGTTAGGGAATCGATCCGTAATCCGACCATCTGAATTGATCCTTAAATATAGATAAATTTAAATATCCAGATCAGAGATTTTTATTCGGATTTGTCAAAGAACTTAAATAACGGACATAAGGGTGTTCTCAAAGCTAGCTTTATATCTAATCTGACACGGATTCAATCCGGATTTAATAGAATCCGGATGGCCTGTCAAAGATAGGATCGAATCCCTATTTTGTTGTTAATATTTAATAGTAATAGGCTTTCAAAGGGATCAAATATAAATTTACATCCAATTCTTCACATTATGTTTCACGCAAAAATTTTTAATATGCCTACAGTATTTTACTTTTACATTATCGTTCTTAGTATTACATTTATTATTTTGATTACCTGTTGCAGTACTTTATTTTTAGTAGATCATTATTGAATTATTCATATGTTAGTGAATACCCGCCACCACATTTCTTGCATTTGGTGTATCTTATTTCGCTTCTCTTACCTCATTATTAGTAATTATGTTAAAGTGTCACTGCTTATAAGGAGAAGAGCATATTAATTATTCTAACAATAAACATAACTGATAAATGTTCCCAATATAAAAATGACTTTTTAATATATTTAATATCTTAATGATTACGGTCTAAAGTCTTTACAGTCTCGTGATGATCATCAATTTGATTGGCGGTGGTGCGCATACATGATCACGGGACTGCAACATGATACCTATACCCCCAAATTTATTATTCATACCCCTGAAGATTAAACATTCTTTTTAACTTTGAGCGAAGGTATCTCAGCAACCACTAGGTCTATGGATTCATATAATTGAAACAAAAAAAGATCATCGAATTTGACTTGGTGGTTGCTAGGATATCTTCGCTCAAAGTTTTAAAAAAAAATTTAAAACGCCTATCAGAATTAACCATAGCCGCAAAATTGGACCGGTAGATTCTAGATTTTGATTGGCTAAGAGCGACGATCAAAGAAAATCATAGCCGCCCATTAAGTGAAAATTGTTCCTGGACCAATTTCACCATCATGCGGGCTTATTTTTTAAGAATTTCTATTTTTGTAATGAAATTCCAGCCGGAAATTAGTAAACAATTTTGTAATGTAGGCCAAAATTTTGAAGACCCTAGCCGTTAGCCAATCAAAATCGAGGATCTGCCAGTACAATTTTGTTGCGGCAGCTATGGTTAATCTATCAAAACAAAATGCGCCAAAATTTTTTTAAACTTTGAGCGAAGATATCTTAGGAATCACTAAATCAAATTCGAAGAGCTTTTTTTTATTTAAATTCTTTACATTCTTATAATACAAATAAAAAATAATTCATCCGATTTGATTTGGTAGTTGCTGAGATATCTTCGTTCAAAGTTTTAAAAAATTCAAACCGTCTCAATGCACCAAATTTTTTTCTATACTTATGAATGAAGATATCTCAGCAACTACCGGGCCAAATACGATGAATTTTTTATTTGAATTCTATGCATCAATATAATTCAAATAAAAAAAAAAGTTCATTGGATTTGATCCGAAAGTTTCTGAGATATCTTCGCTCAAAGTTTAGAAAAAATTTTGGCGCAGCTTCTGCATTTGACAGACATTTTTAAGATTTTTAAAAATTTAAACGAAGATATCTCAGCAACCACAAAGTCAAATCTGATAAATTTTTTTTATTTCAATTCTTTGGATCCATAGAATTCAAATAAAAAAAAAAAACTTTATCGAATGTGGTTGCTGAGATATCCTCGCTCAAAGTTTAAAGAAATTTTAGTACAATTTATTCTGACGTACGTTTTGTTTTTTTAAAACTTTGAGCGAAGATATCTTAGCAACCACCAAGTCAAATCCGAGGAACTTTTTTTATTTCTATTCTATGTATCCATAGATTTCAAATAAAAAAAAGTTCATCAAATTTGGCCTAATGGTTGCTGAGATACCTTCGCTCAAAGTTTAAAAAAAATTTAATCTGCGGGGGTATGAATAATAAATATGTGGTATAAAAAATAATCCTAAAATTTATATTTGCAATTCTTATTCTGTGCCAATCAGAATCATGTGATTTTTGCACCATTCTATGCAACGAGTCGAAAGCATGGGATTCTGACCAATGCAATTCTTGAATGTGTACCAGGTTGATGACGCATTAATCAATCCAAATATTTTGCAGCATTAAAAAATCCTAATGATAACAATAATAAAATTATAAATTTAGCTTTATTTCTCTCATATTCTTGTTATTTTCAGAAAAGCTGTTTCTCTTTATTTTTTCTCATAATCTTTAGCTTCTAATAATATTGGTTTGAATTTAAAAAAATATACGTATTCTTTACTTTTATAATGTTTATAATTATAATTTTCAAAATTTTTACAAACAGAACGTCAAAGTTGTTAATATAATACGCTAGGGTGTTCAATAAAACATAGTTAGGGTCATTAAGTTCGGATTTTTTAAAGGGTTGTTTCACTTATAAATTTAAATATGAATTTGTACTAATTTAGGTACATTTTTCTACAAAACTAACAGGCAAAATTGTATCATATTTTTTAAAAAACTGTAGCTCTAGACTAGCTCTACACTGAAATAGAACTGGTTTTTTTTAATAACTTTTAATAAAATTTTGTTTTAATTTTTATTAATAATTGATACTGGTTGTTAAAAAACCGGTTCTATTTCAGTGTAGAGCTAGTCTGGAGCTACGGTTTAAAAAAATAAATGATACAATTTTGTCTGTTAGTTGTGTAGAAAAATGTACCTAAATTAGGACAAATTCATATCTAAATTCATATGTGAAATAACCCTTTAAAAAATCCGAACTTAATGACCCTAACTATGTTTTGATCAATTAGTTTATT